TGAAATTTTTTGGCAGGAAGAATTTCCAACTCGGGAGAGAGAAAAGCTGGGAGGCTGAAATTTTCAGGGGACGTTCTCAGCCGATGTACAACTTAAAACTATCAAATCCAGCCCCCAAGCACGCGCGGTTCTCACGTACGACATAGTAAAATTTTTTAGCGAGGGGATTGATAAATTGGAAAGCAGAAAAGCTCGATAGCTGAGATTTTAGGAGAATATTCCTCGTCCAAACACAACTTAAAATCCAGCCTCTAGGTACGTGTGCTTCTAGTGCACGGGAACTTAAATTTTTGACGGGAAAATTTCTGATTGAACACCTTGCCCATTCAAATTCAGCCTTCCCGTACCGCGGGTAACTCGTACGCCCCGTGAAAGTTTTCTACAGGTAAATTAATATCTCAGGAACCACGAAGTCTAGGAGGCTGAAATTTTAGAGTAATGACCCCCTGCCCGCGCTCAACTTTGCCTATTCAAATTCAGCGTTCCCGCGCTCTCGGGTATCACCTGCGGACTAGTGAAAGTTTTTACGGGTAAATTATCGTCGTCTCCAGAACCACGGGGTCTAGGAAGCTGAAATTTTGGGGTAATAACTCCCTGTCCACGCTAACCTTGCCTATTCAAATCCAGCGTTCCCCCGCTGTTGAGTATCACCTATGGCCTCGTGAGAATTTTGGCGGCTAAACTATTAACTAGGGAATCATGGAGAGATATTCACTCTTTAAGGTTTCGAATTCAGCTTTCATGCGCTGGTGCGTGAAATTTTTAACTATTTTCCGATTTCTGAACTATTTTTGCATGGACAAAAGTACAAAGCAGTGAAAATCATTAATAGGCAAGCGTTCGATTGCACAAAACGCATGATCGCACCGGCTAGTCTGGCGTTGCTATTTATTACATTTATTGCACACTGTAGGGCCGAAGCCCCAACCGACGCAAATGTGCGACTTCCTCGTTTCTAAATTTTTGTTCACTGTCATGTGCGGACGCCTGAAAGAAAATTTCTTCTGTAAAAAAATTTTGGTCGGAACTTTTTCTGCCACCTCTCAAAAATGGCTTGCTCAGGTCAAAAACTGACAACAGCACCGCAGCAGCGGTATGATGCGGATAAAGCAGGGCAGAAACGATATTTCAGGGCGTTTCAAATGCAGGAGAAAAAACAAAGTGGATACGGCGAAGAGAAGAGGGGGAGGGGGCAACGGCGGGGGAAAGGGAGGGAGAGAGGAGGGGGAAAAAAGTCGACGCGAGCAGCAGCTGTCAGGAATAGAAAATACGGGTTCTGCTACCAGCGGAGTCTCGCGTAGTGCCCTCGCACAGTACAACTGCAATTTGTCTCATACTTTGCTGACCTGTAAATTTATTGAAGTCAAATTGGCCAGCGCACCGACTATCGGTACGAAGATGCGTTTTTTGCACAGTTCTCCGCAGGTTTTTATCGCTAACGGCACGGCACTGGTTAGAAAAATTGAGATTGCTCATCATGACTGTGAGGAAACATTTCGCTAAAATTTCAACTTTCTAGCTTTTCTCGTTCTTGAGTTAGCAACTTACCCGCATAAAAATTTTCACGAACAGAACCACGCACATCTGGGGGCTGGTTTTGAAGTCATTAAATCCTACGTGGACAGGAAATACCCCCTTAAAATTCCAGTCCTCTAAATTTCCAGGTTCTCGAGCCAGCAGCTCACCCGCCAAAAACTGACGGGCTCGTACATGGGAATCACGTGGGCAAGAGTATCCATTTTGAGGATGGGAGCCCGCACGTGCATGTCGACTAGGTTCCCGAAATTTTGTAGTTTTCAAGATAAAAAATCGGAACAGTTGGACATACACGCGCTTACAGACAACCCATCAACATGCGTTTTTGCACTGCATGGATGCAAAGCTAAGCTGAAATACACCAGGCTTGCCGGTGCAAATCATGTGTTTTTGCACCAGACATGAAATATTCAGGTCATTAAATGCATGAATAGTCATTGGTTCGCATCTACCTTCTGCACTCACTAACGTAAATCATCATAAATTTTGCACAAAGGAAATGAACAGTCTCCGTTCAACGATCGTTTTTTGGAAGTAACATGGCTGTTCAGCGAGCAGTTTTCTTGCCAAAACTTTTAAGTGCTCATACGTGAGAACCGCGCATACTTGGAAGCTGAATTTGAAATATTTAAACTTTTTAAATATTTAAGCGGGAAACATTTGATTTGAAATATTTTCCGCCAAAACCTTCATTTGCTCGGTTCGGCCTCAACCCACGCACCTGGGGGCGAGTCCAGTTTTTGTAATTGCTAAGTCAGTGCCTGTTACCAGCAACCGAGAGCCACAAAAGCTAAAAGTAACGTGGAACGGACGATTTAATGCAATCGAAGTCAGCTTTACCTCAACACGGTGGATCCTGTTTGCGAGGTATGCACCTAATTCCAGTAAGAGGGGAAGGACTAGCAGCGTGGAAGAGGAGGTGCTGAAACAGGCGCCAAAGACATTTCATGACGCAGGGATAAAATGGCTCTCGTCATGGAGATGCTGAAATGAAAGGGGATGAAACAGCATTGTTGCTAGGGTCACTGCGAAGTCTTGACGCTAGTGTGTTTGCTATTTGTCGGCCTTTCAGCGCACGTCTAGCCTTTGCCTGCACTTCCAACCACCTCACCACGTGGCCCTCTCGTAGCCACAACCACCCCCC